TATCTAAAAAGGAAAAAGGACAAATATATGAGCCAATATATCTAAAAAGGAAAAAAGGACAAATGTATTAGCCACTATATCTAAAAAGGAAAAAGGACAAATATATGAGCCAATATATCTAAAAAGGAAAAAAGGACAAATGTATTAGCCACTATATCTAAAAAGGAAAAAGGACAAATGTATTAGCCACTATATCTAAAAAGGAAAAAGGACAAATGTATTAGCCACTATATCTAAAAAGGAAAAAGGATAAATATATTAGCCACTATATCTAAAAAGGAAAAAAGATAAATATATTAGAATCTAAAAAGGAAAAAGGACAAATGTATTAGCCACTATATCTAAAAAGGAAAAAGGACAAATATATTAGCCACTATCTAAAAAGGAAAAAGGACAAATATATGAGCCAATATATCTAAAAAGGAAAAAAGGACAAATATATTAGCCACTATATCTAAAAAGGAAAAAGGAGAAATATATTTCGAACTATGATTTACCCGATTTTATTTTAATTTTTTACTCAAAATTTAAAAACCTACCAAGCTTCCATAAAATTCCAATGATAACTAAAATCCTATTTCTTGGCGACCCAAAACAGTCCTTCCAAACAGTTCTTATTGAGCAAGAAGGTTTACCACAATAAATCTTATGTTATCTATTTTACTGTTTCAGTCATTCTTAAGGAACCAGGTTCCTTAAGTCGAATAGTTAGTACTAGTTTGTTTCATACAGTGAAATTTCAAAATATTAACTTGATCTAATCTTAATTTAATTTCAAAATTAATCAAAATAATTTTCGAAAGGAAATATGACTTTTGAAATTTTTGGTGTTAAACTAAAGATGTGTTGAATGTATCAAAATACTATTTAATCTTATAATCTTAAACATGTTATGTGAAAAGTTAGAATTTAAAAGTTATCAAAAAATAAAAGAGATAATTTTTTTTATAAGGACTAAAAGAAAGTACAACAAACAAATTAAAACGAAGAAAATAGTATATAAACACCTCAAATAATTCTCTCAAAAATGAAGGGAAAAATAGTGCAATTATTGAAATAGTTATGATTTTGTATATTTGTATGGTCGCCAACCCAAAAACACAATGAGTTGCTTTACAGAACACTATAAATAACTTTATTTATAAGGTAAAAAAAAGTGAGAGAATTATTAAACAAAAAATGAACAGAAGGGACTATTTTAGTTTTGAAATTAGTGGTATCACATCGGTCAATTTTGCTCCATTAGTGCGTTAGTTTTTGGTCGATTCTAAATCAGTATTCTCTCCATTTTAATTTATGTGATGTTATTCGACTTGACATCAAACTTAAAAAAAAAATATTTTCGAAATTTATGGACTAAAATAAGTTTGTGACTATAAATCATTTAATTAAGAATAAAGTTAACATTTTAAAGTTAGATTATTATTAAATATTAAAATATGTTACTCTTTCTAATGCGGATTAAAAAAAAGTATCATATATTTTATTTTTCACTTTTAACATATCAATAAAAGACAATTATTTTTTCTATATTTAATCTTAGCATTTATCACTTATGGGGGGTTCTATACTTTTTGTTGATAGTGAATTCAAATCCACAACTCTAGTGTGGAAAATATTTTCACGACTCCTTGCTTACCCTTTGTTGATATATATATCAAATTTTCTAGTACAAATACAGGATCTATGAAAAAGCTATTGGATTCGTCCGAACCCATGAACCCCCACCTAGCTCCCCCTGCCTACAACAAGCTTAAACCATGAGTGAATATAGCAGCAAACGCATTCATTTGAGCTTTGGACAAAGACAAGCCAACCTCTAAATCTCCATTCGAATCCTTGGACTTAGTAAGGGACATTGATCCACCATTGTCAATAGAAACAGACTCTATCTTCTCAGCCTTTCCCCAACCAAAATCGGCAGAATATAAATCAAACTTCGGAGATCCACTAACTGACAACAACCGTTTTGTATCTATCGTGCTAAATTCTTTAAACCAGTTACCACTGAGGATCCATTCCTTGTCTTTCGTCCTTTTTTGAATGACTTCTCCAATTAATTCCACCGCGATTGTAAATCCTTCCTTTCCAATTAAGTCAATGCGCCTTGTTTGTGTAACATACCCCATTACGCAATTCCCAAAATAAGATGGAGGAAGTGGTGGATTGATTCGCGCTCTGCAATCTGCTGCACATACAAAAAACTCCATTACATTCTCATTTGTTATCTCGATTGTGGTGACCTCTGACTTTACCAAGCAAGTCCACACATAAGCACATGTTATTGTGAAAGATGTCACATGAGCTAGGCTTGGTCGTCTTGACAGTATTAAATTCTTGAGCTTAGTGATTTCATTATGTCCTATAATAAATGTACATCGAACTTTATCAATATCAGGAATCACAATTATGTCACGCATCTCCACTTTAAATGTCTTCATTACATCCCATATAGACATCCCTTGTTCATGAGGGTCTTTTATTATGGACCTATCGTAAAATGGAATGAGCTGATCATTTTCTAAGAATTGCTCATCTCCGCAGAATTTGTTTAGCAAAGCCCATGCTCTAGTGAATCTTACTATAGTATTTCCATCACAGGCGGCGTGATGGTTACTGAAACCAATGGATATGCCAAAATTAGGAAAAAGTGTCACTTTGATGGCTAAAATCGGGGCTAATTGGACCCCTGGTGCATCCTTAGGTTCTGCTAATTGAGGAATTAAGGGATACAAATCCTTAGCATTTCGGGGATGGTTACCAATGAGATAATTGAAATTCATATCAATTGTCTCAGAAAAGATAACAGATACAGAATCTCCTGTGTTGTAGCGCAACTCAGGATAACCACTTGAGTTTATAATTGGACAAACAAGGTTTCCAGCTAAGATTGTATAGTGTTTGAGAGCGAGGGAGAGTGAATGTTTAAGAGAAGGAATAATGGTTTGGACGAAATGGGGTTTGGAAATAGGGAGGTTGTAGAATAATAGCCGTCGATTACGTCCAAAAGCTAACCAGGTATGATCAAAATAGGTAAGACGGAGCGTCAGCTCAGCTGCACCGCTGGGATGGGGCTCAACCTGGCATTGCTCAATTACTGAAGCCATTGTAGTTTGGTTTAGAGATAAAAAAGAGTATATTAATATATAGAGCAATGTTGAACTATGAAGAAGAAAGATCAATGGAGTGGTGGTGGAGTCCACACGAGCCAATTTAGCGGTGTTATAACAAAACTTTAATCAAGTTTTGACTTTTGAGTAATCACTATAACAAAAAACCAATGGAGTGATGATTTGACAAACTGTCGTGCAAAGGGACCTGGTCTGCACTAACAATAAAGCACCAGAGTTTCTACTTAATTATATTTTCTTTTAAGATGTTAACGCAGTAGACAAGCCCGGTGCGACGAGCTCGACCCAGAAGGCAAACCCTTTGCTTTCGCTGACAAGGAGTTTCGAACTTGAGACCTCCAACATGGAAATTCCAAGCCTAAATCACTAGGCCACCCCGAAGGGTAGATAAAAGGGAATGATACAGTTAAGAACTTATTGAATTTCAGATCCCTTACACAGATTAAGTTATTGAAACCAAACAAAGTCATATCTGGCAGATTGGTAAGCATAGTTGTGAAGCTCAATAACTAATTCGCATATCTGGAAAGCATTGGTGATTTTAAAATATGATATGAAAAGACATATGTATTGGCAATTAATAGTGAAGGTAAAGAATGTACAATCGTAAATTCACAAATTACTGAAAGAGATCTAATTGAACAATAGCAAAAACGTTGTTATAGGCATAAAAATCAAAATAGTTAAATATGTCCATTAACTTGACTTCATTTCACATTTATGCCCTTTAACTTTGGATGTGCAAAACTTGACTTCATTTCACATTTATGCCCTTCAACTTTGAATGTGCACAAATAGACACTTAAAGTTGTATAAAATTGCACAAATAGACACACATCCTACGTGGCATCTTACATGACAATTTGCATCCTATGTGGTGTGCTACGTGTTTTATGCCACGTAGGAGTTATGTATCTACTTGTTCAACTTTAAACTAGTTTAAGTGTCTACTTGTGCACACCCAAAGTTGAAGGGCATACATGTACAATGAGGCCAAGTTAAAAGACATATTTATGTATTATGCCAAATAGTTAATTGTAAGATCTAAAGAAATATTTAAACATTAAAATGGTGTAAACCTTAGGTTTGGTAAAAAAATTAGATTTTCACAACTCTTAAAAATAAGTAAAGATTTATTAGCTATAACTTTAATTAATTTCAAAGTCATAAACATTAGATAATAAATAAATGACAGGAATTTGAGAAAAATAATAAATGACATTTTCTTTTCATTTTTTAGATGACGGACAAAAATTTTAATAAACATTTCTAATAATCTTCATACTTTTAATGTAGTATAGATATATACCAATTTAGTGTATGCGTTTTGCGTGTGATCACATATCAATAAGACCAAAATCTTTAAAAACTTATGGGTAACTAACAAAAAACTCACTAGTTTAGAAGCTAATTAATTACTTAGATACACACAAGTTTACAATATTAAGAATCTTACTAGATTTTGGTGCGTCAAGATACGTCCAAATACATGTATCTCAAAATACATGAGGTCAAAAGTATGTGTAATTTGTTGTAGATACACTATATCCAAGTGGCTTCATATGTATTTGGGATACATAGACAAATATCGTTTGCCTCCCTCACCTCTCTCTCATCTCGCTTGTCACTCTCATATTTATATGGTATCTTAGATACATGCTTATCACATCAGATACATGTATCTAGTGTGATTTGCGGGTATCTAAGATACATAGATAAATATTGCTCGCCTCTCTCAAATCTCCTTCGCTACTGACTTATATATTTGGTATCACATATGAATGTGAATCATTCTAGATACCTTTAGATACATATATCTAGGTGTATCTGACTTAAAATTTGGTAAGAATTATTAACTAGTGATATCAAATATAATTATTTCAAACTATAGGGAGAATTAGTAAATATGGTAGGAATGTTTGTGTAATTGCATAGTGTTGCATTTAAACGCACATGCAAGTGTACATGGTCGTGCAAGTAAAAAAACAACTCTTTTAAGAGCCGGATGTTGAACCCTTCAGTTAATATTCGATTTCGCTAATAACTACAATTTAAAACAAGTGTGTTCAGAGAGTTTGATGATTATTTCTAAATTAACAATTTCATAAAAGAAAGCTACCTAACTATGATTCGATTTCTAGTGGAGTTTAAGCAATGGCTTAGGAAATTCCAGAGTTGTAGCCTACTTAGAATTCATGCATAGTATCATCTTCTATGAACATCGATTGATTATCAAATAACTTCTTTACAGGGTTAAATGTATGATCATGGTATCCTGACCTCTAATTACATACCACATTTGACAGTTTAACTACATTGTTGAGCAGGGATAGACTGAACCAACTACGAAGCACTAAGATTTCGTCTAGTGTTGTAACCAAGCAAGGTCTCTAGGTATATCCCTATCCTAGATACAAATCAACCCTTGTTTCGACAGAAGTTAATGCCCATTTTGTCCCACGTTCTATCTTTCTATTCCTCTCTCAAGTTTAAGTTAGACAATAAATGTATATTAATGTTGATCATGGAAATTTTGAGACATTAAGTTATTAGAATAAGAAATAGAAATATATTGAGGGAGTAGTAATTGACAGACTTTCTTAATAATAATAATAATAATAAATAAATAAAAAATAGTAATATAGTGAAAATTGCCCCCAAAAAATTAGAAAAAGGATAAATAGGATCATTAAGCAAAGAGAGATGTCACATCACACACACGCTGCTCCATTTTAACATATTTTTATTTATAAATAAGGAAATGAAAAGTTGGAGTAGCAAATATTTTTTTAAAAATGAACAGGAATAAGTGAAGTAGCAAATTTTGAGACATTTAAGTTTTTACAAAAAGAATAGAAATGAGTGGAGGGAGTAGTAATTGACACATTTATTGTTTAATGATAATAATAATAATAATAATAATAATAATAATAATAATAATAATAATAATAATAATAATAATAATAATAATAATAATAATAATAATAATAATAATAATAATAATAATAATAATAATAATAATAATAATAATAATAATAATAATAATAATAATAATAATAATAATAATAATAATAATAATAATAATAATAATAATAATAATAATAATAATAATAATAATAATAATAATAATAATAATAATAATAATGATAATAATAATAATAATAATAATAATAATAAATGAATACATAAATAATAGAAATATAGTAAAAACTAGTAAAAATTGCCATAAATGAGAAAATAAATAAATATGATCAATGGCTAAAGAGAGGTGTCACATCACTTTTTGTTTGTTTAACTTTATATATAGAGATGAGAAATAAGTATGTCTTAAGTGTTTTCTTTCATCATTAATTAGATATTATTCGTTAGGGCTTTCTGCAACACCTTTGAAATTCTTGATCTAAGACATTTGTCCTTAAGGAAATTATTCCTTAAAGATTATGAATTTGTTTCATGACTTTGTTTGACTTCAACTACATAATCTATGTTAATGTCATATATATCAAAGGATTTGAAATCTCACTACTCGATAAGTCCTTATTTGCTTCACATCAACTCTTTCATATTTAATGTAGTAGTTTAATCATATGATTAGGAAGCTATCAAAACCACATACATTCTTAGATTAGTATTTTAACTAATATGCAATCACATGGGTCATTCAAATGACCTGTTAACCAGAGAAAAAGATCGCTAGAATATATATAAGGTAAAAGTCATTCAATAATAAACAAGGTCACCAGAATAATAAAGCTACAAGAATGTGTCATTCACACCTCTTGAACTCCTTAGATTACTTTGCAATGCACATCTCCATTAGCATCGTCAAATCGACGTCAAATTTCTTCCTATATGCAATCACCCCATTCAGTGTTTGTGTCTTCTATCTTCATGAGCTCTAATGATCATATTCTCCCTCTCAAACACGAACTCTTCCGTTTTTTTGTGAAGGAGTTTGATAAATTTGTAACTCTCTTTTCCCTAACTCGATGATCCAAAATAGTTGAGGAAGCATTCGCAAAAGATTGTTTGATCACATACCATTGATCCTGTTCGATTATCTCCTAAGCAATCCTGTCATAGTAAATCATTTGGTACTAACCCTTGAAAAGTTGTTGTTGATACTTCATCTCTTCCTTGTTTTTCTTATGGTGCATCTTTATTTTTACCTGACGATTAAGTTCTCTTCCAATGTCTAGTGGTTCTTTTCTCTCACTTGAAAAAAAGTCTCTTCAAGAGTATTAGCTTTCTATTGATTCTTAGCGGCTTAGTTCGAAAACCACAGGGGTTGTTGATTATTATTTGACATCTTCATCGCTGGATTACAAATAGTATATAAAACTTCAACCTTGATTCTCATGTAAATTGCTTGTTGAATTTTTTCATGTCTCTTATTTCTTCAATGTAACCATAAAACCTACGTTTCCCCAGGATAAAAGCGAATGGGATTATATCCACATATCTTTATCTATTTCTTTCTTAGAAAACTACTCAATGAGAAGTAGAGCCTCCATGTATCCCACGACAGTGGCCTCAATAATTAACACATTGATGCTACTATGGTGATCATGTGGTCATTTTGAATGTCAAAAATCCTTGAAAGCAGCATAAAAACTGAAATTGTCATGCAACTCCTAATATCCCATCCAATCCACTTGTCATTATCATCTTTCTCAAGAGTCGTTTTCATAATAATCACCATTGGGAGCCACACTATTTCCTTATCTTTGAATTTGATATCATCCCATCTTTCATACACCTCACCTAGAGGTAAAATAGAAGTTCAGAACATAACATGGCATTAAATTCTAAGATTAGAAAGTAGTATGGTTCTCGATGGTGATTGTCATGAACTTGACGCTTTACAAAAATGATAATGACTAGTGGAATGGATGGGAAATCAGGAGTTGCATGACTGTTTCATCTCTTATGTTGCTTTCAAGGATGTTTGTCATTCATATGGTCCACCACACCATCTTAACATTAGCTTATTGGTTATTGAGTCCACTATCA